TCACGTCCACCAGGTCGTAGCGGAAGAGGGGGCTGGAGCCCAGCTCGGCGCTGGCGCTCAGCAGCAGGCGCCAGGCCTCGTACACATCGCTGGCGTTGTACCAGAGCTCTGTGTCCATGTGCAGCGAGGGCCGGCGCACCAGCGGGCTGCGGTTGTGGTTGACGCAGACGCCGGTGCAGTTGTACACGCTGCGGAGGAGCAGGCGCCAGGCGCCGGCTGCAGCAGCGTTCAGGGCGCCATAGCGGCGCTCGGCGTAGCGGGACACCCAGCTGGGGAGGTCGAGGGGCTCCTGCCGCCAGCCCAGCTCGTTCATCAGCTCGTACACCATGTCGTTCTGCTCGATACCCTCAGGCACCAGCCCTGTGCCCACCATGGTGGAGTTGGGGAAGCGCCGAGCCATGAAGGGGCCATGGTTGATGGCCTCCACGGTGCCGAAGAGGCCGTGGTTGCCCCCGAAGTTGTGCAGCATGCACCAGATGAAGGGTTGCCCATAGAAGGACTCTGTCCACTGGTAGACAGGTTTGGACTCAGCAAAGAGGTCAAGAACAATCATCTTGCCGAGGGGCACACCGTGCAGGAGGGCCCGCACCTGTGCCGGGTGCCAGAAATCTGGCTGGTGCTGGAAGAGCCAGCCCTGCATCAGCCACAGTGCCTCGGGGTCAGCTGGGGATGGAGGAACACAGGGTGAGGTCCCCTCCAGGCAGGGCCCAGGAGGCCCTGGGGCCACTAGCCACCCCTCGTGGAAGGGGCTTTGAGGGTCTGGCACCAACGGGGTCTGTTGAGCGCAGGCAGCTCAGCGCTTGCATGGGGCCCACAGCCTCCTTCCCCAGCCCCAGTTATCCCACCTGGAGCCTCACAGCTGGGCCAGCACTGCACACTGACCCACCTCCTGTCATCGACCTGAAGACAGCATTGCTGACCCTCGAGAGATAGGCAGGGTCAGAGGAGAGGGGGGTCATCTCATTGAAGGTGTCGGCACTATAGATGTGGTCTGTGCCGAACTCCTTGATCAGCTCCTTCAGGAAGAGGGTCCCGATCACCTGGAACATGGGGTCCTCCGGGTCCAGCAGGTAGATACATGAGTAGGTGCAGTCGAAGTGGCTCCAGCCCCCCAGGCGAGTGGCATTCACACGTGGGAAGACCCTGCGCCAGAGGGCAGAGATGGGGATCAGGAACAGGGTGGGACAGGAGCACTGTGCCCCTGCAGGGACAGTGCACCCTCTCAGGGAAGCTGCAGGTGGGAGGTGCCATAGGTGCTGTTATGCCAAAGGTGTGACCCTGGAAAGGGCCCAGGGCAGAGCGAGGGCAGCACCTACCGAAGGATCCCCTGTGGCACATGGCCCGCGAAGGCTGGCAGCACTGTGGTCATCCCCAGTGAGCGCATCCGCTCCAGGATCCGGTACTGGGAGA